ATGCTTCAAGATGGAGGATGATAAGGCTTTGGAAGAGAATTTTGACCAGTTCTTAAAGCTTGTAGCTGACTTAGCTAGCATCAAGATCGAAGTATCTGAGGAGGACCAGGCCATTCAACTACTATCAGGCCTGCCTACAGTTTATGAACCTTTGGTTCATACTTTACAGTATGGTACATGGAGGGACACTTTGACTGTGGGAGAGGTGATGACTGTGGCATATTCAAAGGAAGCTGAGCTAAAGCAGAAGGGTTTACTAACAAAAGGAAAGTAGTCAGAAGGCTTGTACGTTGAGTCTCGAGGAAGATCGTCACAGAGAAATGAAAACGGTAACAACAAGTCTTGGAATTACAAGTACAAGGGTACAGAAAGATCTAAGTCTTGAGGGAAGAGCACCGGAAAGACAGATAAGACCTGCTGGATCTGTGGAGCTGAAGATCATTGGAAACGTGACTGTCCTGAAAGGAAGAAGGGCTCATTCCAACCAAGAAGTTCGAACTCAGAAAATGTTGCTGCTAAATTACCGGATCCTTTGGTATTAACAGCAAGTTTGCTAGTATCTGAAGATGAATGGGTGTTAGATTTTGGGTTTACGTTTCACATAACACCAAGGAAAGAGCTGATGAAGTTTGGAGGAAACAAAGTGATGATGGGGAACAACTCTCATTGCATTGTGAAAGGGATTGGAACGATCTCCATTGATAATAAAGATGGATCAGTGGTGACTCTGAGTAACATAAGATACATGCCGGAAATGGGAAGAAACTTAATTTCTTATGGGAAGCTATAGCTGTCTGGTTGCAACTATGAAGGCAGGGACTATAAGATTTTCTTCTACAAGAATAAAAGCAAGGTTCTAACAGGAAGTTATAACAACGGACTCTACTATCTCGAAGGACGTGTCAGAAAAGCATAAGCTATCTTAGCAAAGAATAGTGCTGATTACACTAGGAGGTGGCATACACGGTTAGCTCACATGAATATAAGATCTATGGAGACTTTGGCAAGGAAGGGATAAGTTAAGCTTATGCTAGGACATCTCGGGTTCTGCGAGTCATGTGCTATGGGAAAGTTGCATAAGCAAAACTTCCCAAAGTCCAAGCATACCACACAAGGGATTTTAGACTACATTCACTCTGATCTATGGGGATCACCGAACACAACATCGAGCTTATCAGGGGCTCACTACTTTCTTACTCTTACTGATGCTTATTCAAAGAAAGTTTGGATCTATTTTCTCAAAACTAAAGATGAGGCATTCACTTGTTTTAATCAACAAATGTAAATTGTATAAAGGTAACTTTAAAATAAAAAAAATTAAACATCTTTTCTCCCACGAGTTTACGCGCGGGGTGATTTTCTAGTATTTACAAAATAAAAAGAAATTAGAAAAATTTGTGAAATTATATTAACCTTGTTAGTTAGTTTGATTTATATCTAGATTGCATAAAAACTCAGATGAAGGTCCGTTTCACGTTTTGGAAACATTTTGGAATCAGACTCTCTTAGAAACTCGTGAAAACTCATTAGAAACTCATTTATTGAAAATCTCATTTTTAAAATTCAATGGAGACTTACATTTTCACCCTAGAAACTTGTGATTCTGTTTTGGAAACATGAAAAAAACTTTATAAAACAACTATTGTAACTTGTATCTATATTTCAAGTTAAACTACTTCATATTTAAGTATTTGATATCTGCTATTTTAAAGTTTAAATATGATATTGAAAGTTTTAATATTACTTGTTTCATTTTAGTATACTTAACATAAAATTATTATTTGTTGATTTATATTTTTTTATAGAACAAACAAAAGAAAACAGTTGAACTCACATGTTGATCATTATATATATGAATATATATATTTATAAATGTTTTTTAAACGTTTTATTCTTAAAAACATTAAGACCATGCTTTGTTTTTTCGTATCCATTTCAAAACTTTTAGTTTCTCCATATTTGTTTATGATTTCGTGCAACCTAGATTTAAACTAATTCTAATTGATTTAATTAATGTAGAACCTTTTTTTATAAGGCTGGTTTATTATGATATTGTAATTATAAGAAAGTTTACATAGACGATTCCACAACCAACAATATTATCTTAAATCTTTTCTCCGGAAACTTTAAACCTGGATTTCCCTCTAATCTGCAAGAAATTATATAGTCTGGGATTCAAACCCTAAATCTGGATATAGAAATTTTTAAACCTTAATCAATAAGTTACGGTGCTTCTACAATTTAGAACCTTTTAAACTGACTTTTAAGTCTAGATATTTTTAAAAATTCTTTCGGATAGTACGGAATTGCGTTTATATACCGGTTTTCGAACCATGGAAGCATAAGTTCCTAGATAATGCACAACGTAAAACATAAATCCGTTAGATTAGAATGTTGACCACAAAAAAAAATCGGTAAAATTAAAAATAGCCCAACACACTGTAAACAACAATTATAATAGCCCAACTTATCACTAGTAATCAGAATGGGCCTCGAGTTAAGTTCGTTCGACGTTTTTCTTTTGTGAAAAAAATCAATTAGATCATTACCCTGTTCTATAAATCGATCGTTTAGACGCCTTCTTCCATCCCGATTTACGTTAAATTGGTGTAAAAAAACAGACATACAATTTTAGTTCATCTAGGCGGCCGTCTAATCTTTTTTTAATAATTTATTTATCTATTTATTTGATCTAAAATTTGATAAATATAACTTATATTCATAATTTTGATAAAAATTATACCATATTAAATTTATATATTCTATTTGTATGTTATATACGGTTATAAACATGAAATGTATTAATGTTATACATAATTAAAAATTAACATATTTTATAGCATATCAAATAATCTAAAAATTATATTCCATATAATTTTTAATTTTCTCTCTAGATGCTAGGTCCAACCATGCCCTTCGACTAGCGTCTAGAACGTTTCCGAACTTAGGATCAGTATAATCGGTCTACTGGCCCGTTGAAATAAAACCAAGTATGAAACTAAACCAAATTAAGCCAGACCAATAAATTACAACTTAACATTGGGCAGATATTATTTGAGTTTGGATTTGATTTTTTGAATTTCGATTCTATTTTGTAACATGTCATGTGTTCCATACTAGTAAATGTGTAATATGGATCAGAATCATATATAACAGATCTGTTTTAGATCAGTTTTGTATCACATCAGATATAACAGATCGGTCTCAACGGTAATGTTCATGAACACTCCTTAGATCATATCGTTTTCCATTTTCTCAAATCCCTTGGTAGGTGGTGGTGGCGCGATTATTACCGATCAAATCTACCAACCAGTTCTCTCCGGACGTCTCACAAGCTTCTCGGAATGTGAAACTTTCTTATTCTTGTACTTGAAGCCAATTAAAATCTTGATGTCTCCTTATACTCACGGTTTTCGCAGGTATGTTACTAACTACATGTTTGGTCGCGTGGAGGAAAAGAAGTTCCACGTGACTAAAGTATTGGGTGGCTAAAGTTTGCACGGTGCTTCTAAACATAAACACATGTAACGTAATCACTTGTTTCGTCTATTCTGAGGATCACCCCCTCCTTTAATACATTTTCACAAAATAGCCCATTTCTTCTAGTTCTGAGCTGATTTGGACATTCTATACCGAAAGTCAAATACGAAAACAGGCGTTGATACTTGATACATTGACTCCAGACCGTAATTAGTGTATGAAACTCTTAGTGTATATAGTCGTGATCAGTTTGATGGCATCGCAACACAAGCAGAACCGTTGTTTTTGTTTTGTATAGGTAAACGATTCCCACAAGTCACGGAGCGCAAATGCTGACCTGGCATGAAGATGCATACTTGGCCACAAATAAAGACACGTGTCATATTGAGCTCCGTCCTCTTCAGCCCTCACTCACGTGGCAATTTGTGTTTCTGCATTGATGGTTCTTCTTTGAGAATTTCGTCGGTGTCCTTATCGAGTTATCACAAATGAAGATCTGCTATTTGTTAAAAAAATTAAAGTTTTCTAGGTCTACAAGCCGTGTTAAAATGTAAGAGCAAATGTAAGGTCGGTCTATACTATCCTTACCTAGCAGCATAAGCGATATGTTTAATGTCAAGATTTTCAAAAATTTCCATTCCTCTTATTTTCCTTTGCAAATAACTACCGGAGACATGTAATATCTTTTTATGTCTTCCATAATTTCATTTATTAACGAACGTAGAGGGTTTGTAGTATTTTTTTTTTTTAAGGAGAAAATGAAAATAACAATAATGAGATTCCTCATCCGTAAATAGATTCATTGAATCAAAAAATTCCCAACCAGACAAAAAACCATAGAATCCCACCGCGGATCCCACTTTCGACCAGTTGCCGATTTTTTTATACAGATTTTTATTACATAAATATTCCAAGAAGATAATCACCAATGTACTTAGCACAGAAATGGTAATCACATTTTAAATTCAAAACAGAAGATTAGTGCTATCTATGTAGATTGAAAAGTACCAGAAAAATAGCTGCCGACAACCAAAACAACAAGAAAATACTAGTAATTATTACTAGTTTATAATCAGTTAATCCCAATGGATAAGGACATGAACTAATAATTATCAGTAATCAACTTTACTTACGTCAGTAATCTCTGGTTAATAAAAGGGTAATTAGGTAATTTGAGCAGTTTAGCTTCGATTGCTCGATTTAACAGGGAGAACAAGAAGGAACAGAGGGATAGATAGAAGAAAGAAACAGCAAAAAAATCTCAATTTCTCTCACAATCTGTCCGATTAAAATCTCATATATTTTTTTTCAAATTTTCACGTTTGAAATTGTATATATTATATACTAGATCGATTTGTTCCTTTTGTTTGTGTATATTTCGCCAAAAAAGTTGTTTTTTTCCCTTTCTGTTGAGCTTTTCTAAGGAAAATTCGTCCTTTTCCTGCGAAATTAACAAAGCTGTGTATTCAATTTCAATTTCGGAAATTCGTTTTTTCCGGTTTAATCTCTGAATAGAAACCATGGTGGTAGCAACGACCATAGCGCTTTACGCGAGTCCACCGAACACCATATGCTCCACACCTCACCAGATCACCACCCATCTCTCCTCCTGCGATCTCGATCTCAATCCCAGATCTTCTCCGTCAACGGCCTCTCCCAAAATCGGAGGCCTCTCTCTCCTTTTCTCCGGCGCCTCCGTCAAATCATCCCCTTCCTCCTCCGCATCTCACCAAACCGTAGGAGACGAGCTAGCTTCCATACGCCATGAACGAACCGATGATCGGACCTTAAGCGGCTCCTTCTGTTACTCCCCGAGCAAGTTCATCGCCTCCTCTTCCTCGGTGCTTCACGGTCCAATCTCATCGAGCAGCAGTCCTCCGATGAGAAGCTTCGGTGGAGGAGGTTCTCTCCGAGTAGGATCGAGCAGATTGTTCAATGGATTCGTGAGGAAAGCTGTAGGCTCGTGTGTGGATTACGAGTTAGATGAGCAGCTACCGTTCACCATGGACGATGGTTTCGAAGGAGGAGAAGAAAGAAGACAACCGTACGCTAGAGATTTGCTTAGACGTGCTCAGCTCAAACACAAAATCTTCCAAGATGAGTCTGTCATCAAAGCGTTTTACGAAGCAGAGAAAGCTCATCGAGGACAGGTGTCAAGAAGAACTTTTATTTCTTCTCTGTGATTTCAATTTTTACTAAGTGATGGCTTTGTTTGAAACAGATGAGAGCAAATGGTGATCCTTACCTGCAACATTGTGTTGAGACTGCTATCTTGTTGGCTGAGATTGGAGCTAACTCCACCGTTGTTATTGCTGGGATTCTTCATGATACTCTAGACGATTCATTTATGAGCTATGAGTACATTCTCAGAACTTTTGGTTCTGGAGTTGCTGATCTTGTCGAAGGGGTGAGTAAAGAAACACCCTTTGATTTGTTTAATGATTGAAAGGCTCTAAATTTAGTTTTGTCTGTGTTATTATTGTATCAGGTGTCTAAGCTTAGCCAGCTAAGTAAGCTTGCTCGGGAAAACAACACCGCGTGTAAGACCGTTGAAGCAGATCGTTTGCACACTATGTTCCTTGCAATGGCAGACGCGAGAGCTGTACTTATAAAGTTAGCTGATCGGTTACATAATATGGTGACGCTCTACGCTTTGCCTCCGGTTAAGCAGCAAAGGTTTGCTAAAGAGACTCTGGAGATATTTGCACCTCTAGCTAATCGATTGGGAATCTCTAGCTGGAAAGTTGAGCTTGAGAATCTGTGTTTCAAGCATCTTCATCCTGACCAGCACCACGAGATGTCAGCTATGCTCGAGGACTCGTTCGATGAAGCTATGATTACATCAGCGATTGAGAAAATGGAGAAAGCGCTTAAGAAAGAAGGCATCTCTTACCATGTTCTCTCTGGACGGCACAAGAGCTTGTATAGTATCTACTGCAAGATGTTGAAGTAAGTTCTCATTTCCTCTTTGTATGAAACGTGATTGTTGGATTATACTGATCTTATTGAATCCTCATTTACGCCAGGAAAAAGCTAACCGTGGATGAAATTCATGACATCCATGGCTTACGTTTGATTGTTGACAATGAGAAAGATTGTTACAAGGCCTTAGGAGTGGTTCACAAGCTATGGTCTGAAGTTCCTGGAAAGCTGAAGGATTACATTACTCATCCCAAGTTCAATGGGTAGGTTCTGCAAACCTGTCATAGGCTTCTTCAAATGATGCAGATACATCCTTCTCTGTCTTTCTGACTTCGTTTTCGTGGAAAACTATAGGTACCAGTCTTTGCATACCGTAGTGATGGGCGATGGAACCATTCCACTTGAGGTTCAGATACGGACAAAAGAGATGCATTTGCAAGCTGAATTTGGGTTTGCGGCTCACTGGAGATACAAGGAAGGTGACTGCAAACATTCATCATTTGTGCTTCAGATGGTTGAATGGGCAAGATGGGTTGTGACCTGGCATTGCGAAACCATGAGCAAAGACAGATCTTCGATCTGTTCTTCTAAGCCCTTGTGCAGTTTCCCGTCTCACGCTGAAGACTGTCCGTTTTCTTATAAGCCTAATGGTAACCAAGAAGGACCCGTCTATGTCATTGTAATCGAAAACGAAAAGGTTAGTATCTTGTAGACATCGTTTCATTTTCTTCTCGTGGAGGATGGTTCTTTGCTTGAAGTTGATAACTTGCTAAACCCGAAAACGCAGATGACTGTGCAAGAGTTTCCAGCTAGTTCCACGGTCTCAGACCTGTTAAGCAGAGCAGGACCAGGGAGCTCGAGATGGTCGACGTTCAGCATGCCAGCAAAGGAAGAGCTAAGGCCAAGGCTAAACCAGACACCTGTAAGTGATCTGAAATGCAAGTTGAAGATGGGAGATGTGGTGGAGCTGACTCCAGCCATACCTGACGAGTCTCTGACTGAATACAGAGAGGAGATTCAGCGGATGTATGATCGAGGGCTCGCCTTTTCGCGCCCCCAACGTACAGCTGCTGGCACTACGGTTGGCTGGGGAAGCTAACATGTTGCTCTGATTCTTAGTAAAAAACAGAATCCTTGTTTCATGTATGTAAGTTGTTATATACTGTAATGCTTCAGAAAGATTCGTTGTACCTTTGATCTTGTTGATTCCAAGAATACAGTGTAAATAATATGTATGCATGTCTAGGTTACGAAAAACTGACTCATTAGTCGTTACTAATATACTATATGGTTCGCTCACAAGAAAACATAGGGATATTATTTAATCAAAAGTATCAACAATACTCCGACAATTGATTCTCTTACATTCTCTACATAACTTTCTGTCTAACATTAGTTGGGTCGCCTAGAGAGAGGGAAAGAGACCCTTTGGGAAGTTTGGCAAGGAAACTCTGAGGTTTGTTGCTGCTGAGATGTTTGTGGTGAAGGATCTGTCATGTCTTCATCGTCCTCCTCTGTTTCTTCAGGTTCAGTCGAAGCTGACTTGTTGGGAATAACGAGCTGGTAGTTAGGGCTTAGCAACGTGTCCTGTTCAGGCGGGAGTGGAACACCGAGTCCTGCTACCAATTTAGGCAAAGGGATCTTGTTCCTGCTCGCAGCAAGCTCTAGCTGTACCTAAAACCAAACATCGAAACATAAAAGCTAAAGAGAGTCAGAAACTGGAAATGGATTTGGCAGATAGAAACAACAATAATCTATAGTTTACCTCTCGTGGAGGAGGCTGTGGGAAGCTGAAAGTAACTTTGGATTGAATAGCGAGCTTAAGATCGTCACAGTCTATGGTGGATTTGGTAGCATGCTCCGAGTAAACCTGAGCATCGGTCAACACGTCGACCACGTAACGGTACCATATTTCAAGAAACTGGTGCACCACACGAGGCTCGTACTCCTCCACCCCCATCGACTTAAGCAGAGACTTGACAATCTTGGCGTCTCTGGGCAGATCTTCTTCCCCTTCTCCAGCCATTGTTTCTCACTAACACAGAGATACACAACCCATCAGATAACATTATACGAAAATTCTCTAGAATCCCAGAAAACGAAGGCGGAGACTTCACCTAGCTACAAAAAATCATCAGTAAATTCCAAACACACAAGATTATATGCCCTAGATTGAACAAATGATCAAAATCGACCACAGCAAGGGAAATAGATACCTAACACGAGGCAAACACGGTGGGGATCGGCAGATGCACAGCACGACGGAGGGTGATGAACGGCGGTGAGTAATCGTTCTATGTGTCTTTATGGGAGAGAAGAACTAAGTAGATCTCTCTTTTTTTTTGGTGTAGTTTTGTAATTAGGCTTTAACGTTTGAGGGTAAAACTTCCATTTAATAGAACGCTAACGTTATTGAGCTATTGCGTTTAGCGGTTAAAAACGATGGGCCAAATGGTCTTCTCAATTACACTCGTTCACTGGCCCATTAAAGATACTAACGACGTCGCATGAGAATCTTGTTATTTTATTTTTTTTTATCAAACTTAGATTTATTAATTGGGAATTCGGCCAAAAAAACCACCAACTTTGCACGAATTGCCAAATAAAACATGAACTCGAAGCTGACCAAAAAAATACTGTACTTTCTTTGACTTTTTAATTCTGTTTAAGAACTTGTCATTGACTCACCATTTTAGCACACCGTGATTTTACAATGTAGACGCTGTTATTTTGACGTTAAGTGAAACCACGTCGTTTTGTGTATTTTTAAAACAAAAGTATGTCTATCTCAGAACTCGAACTCAAGAATTCAAAGCCAACGCTGTTATTTTGACGTTAAGTGAAACAATGTCGTTTTGTGTGTTTTTAAAACGAAAAGTATGTCTATCTCAGGACTTGAACTCAAGAATTCAAAGCCAGACAACATGGTCTTTCGCCACCGAGCTAACGACACTTCTGATGAATCTTTAACATATTTCTTTTTATTGAGTAGCCAAAATATCTTTAAAAACCTTAAAATTTTATAAAATTCAAAAATCAATAAAAAGTGTGAAAATCTTAAAATAAAAATTAAATTACAAATAAAATTTATTTTTCGCTAAAATTAATTAAAAAACTCAGAAAAAGCTAAAAATCCAAAAATGCGAGAAACCTAATGATTAAAAGATGACAAAAAACTAATGATTAAAATATTTAAAAAACTTTTTTATAAAAAATCAATGTATCTAAGATCATTTGTGTATTTTATCTTAAATACATTAATCATACGAAAAATATAGTGTGATAAATATAATTTTGTATATTCTTGCATGCATTCATTTATATAAGAGTTTTATAATTATTTTAATCATTAATTTTCATTTTTTGCATTTGAATTTCTTAGATTTTTTATTTTTAATTTTTTTTGTCTTTTAGAAATTAAATTATTTGAGATAAAATACAAAAACGATATTTATCACACTATATGTTTTAGTACGGTTTTCTAAAAACACTAAAACATTGTTGCTAAGATGTGATAACAAACGGACATACACCAAAAACTACAAATGTTTTTTTATTTAATTATTATCTAGTAATGTATAAAAATCTTTATTTTTTGTTGTATGTTCATTCAATATCATATTTTAGCAAAACAATTTGTGATAAGATCATTTTTTATTTTATCTTAATTTTCATTTCTATTTTATCTTAAATAAATTATTCATACTAAAATATATAGTGTGGTAAATATCATTTTTATTTTATCTTACACACATTAATTTATATAAAATAGGTTTCAAGTTTTTAATAATTATATTTAATTTGTTGCATTTCTTTGAATTATTTTAGATTTTTTTCAATTTTTTAGTGTTTTGATTTTTTAAACAAAAAAAATATTTGTAATTTCAATTTTACTTTTACTTTTTCAGAATTTTCTTGAATTTTTAAGATTTTTTGGAAGTTTTAAAAAAGAATTTAGATTTTTCGAGATTTTTTTGATATTCAATAAAAGAAAACATGTTATAGATTTCCTTAAAAGTGTCAGTAGCACAGTGGTAAGAAGTACAAACATGATCACAAGTATGGAGGGCTATTATGTAGATGGTTCCAGCTCACTTCCTAAAAGGGGAGGGGGTCTAATAGTTTATTGCTAGAGAACTTTAGAGTTATTTTTTAATATGTACATAACATTCTTTCAATAGATCAATAAATTTGAAATTTCATCAAAAAAGAAATCTCGAAATTTGGCCATGAGTTCTCAGGTTTGACTCACGTGATTGACATGTTTCTATAATAAAAATAGGCAAAACGACGTCGTTTCATCTCATCTCAAAACGACGTTGTTTTACTTAACGGATCTTAGCAAACGTTGTTCAATCATTCTGTCAAGTTTATAAACGGCGTGTTTAATTGGCGAGTCAACGATAACTTACTGATTAAAGTTTAAAAGTCAAATATAGTTCAATGTTTTTTTTTTGCCAGCCAATATGTTCGTGTTTGTTTTGGCAATTCATGTAAAGTTAAAGCTTTTTTGGATGTTCAAAAAAATTAGGTAATAAACATGTTTACAGATATATATATATATATATATATCTATAATATTATTTGAGAAGTCAGTTTCCTACGTGTCGCGCTCACGTTAACTCTCGCGATGGTTGATTACATAGATACCCTTAATGAATTGTTAGATTTTAAGATTATTATTAAATTTTTTATTTAACTTTTTTTATCTTTTTCCAAATAACATATATAATAAAAATGAAATATTTCTATAATTTTAAAATAAATTTAAAAACGAAATTTTATGTATATAATATGACTTTATTAAAAAAGTAAAGTTCACAAAATAGTAATACCCTCATTAATATATACATAATATGACTTTATTAAAAAGAAAAGTTCACAAAATAGTAATATCCCCATTAATATATATTTTTAAATAACTTAAAATATATTTTCAAAATAATAAAAATATATATATATTCATGAACATCCAAAAATTTATCAGTGACACTTTATATTCTAATATTTTTTTAGAAATTGACATATAATTTGAT